AACATTGGCATTCAGCAAGGGCTCATTCACCCAGGCTGGCATCTCAGCTGCAGGCTGTGCTGGAGCCAGTGGGACCTGGAAGCTGTGTCGGGGTGGGTTTGCGGCGGGAATCCATGCTGGAGGAGGGCAGGCTGCCCCAGAGCCATGACCCATCTCAGGAGAGCTCTCTGTGCCCTGCCAGAGGGTGCCTGGGTGCACCTCAGCCCAGCCATCTGGGCAGGAGAGGTGCAGCCTGTCTCCCACAGCTCTGGGACCGACGGGGATGCTCATGCTCCAGCACGGTGAAAATGGGGAGGCGATGGGCTCTCTACCTCATCCCCACCCCCAGGCGCTGCCATTGCCCTCCCCGACTGCGTGGGAACGGCTCCTGGGGCTGGAGCATGCCGAATTTCACTTTTTAAATGGGGCTTTTGGTACCCGGCCAGGCAGCGTTTCGTGTTGTCAAATATTTTGGCAAACCGCATCTCAGCTTTAGTCTGAAGCGTCTTTGGCTGGGGAAACGGCACCGAGCCGAGCAGCCAGCACGATCCCAGCGCAGAGGGGAACACCACACTGCTGGCCATATCCTGCTTGGGAGCTGCTGGTGCTAAAGTGCTGTCCCATCCTGGCTGGGGGCACTGGGGACTGCACCTGGACAGGGTGACTGTGGTGAGCAGTGAAAGGGCCACAAAAAAGGTGTTTCAAGGTGATTGAAAGGGTTTGTGAAATCAGTCTGAGCGGGACAAATTGTATTGACAAGAATAAGAAAACCCTGAAAAGTGATTTTTCAAGTCCCTCTTTTGGCTTTTTGTTCTGAAATTGCCCTGCATTAAGAAGAGAATTAAAAAAAAAAATCCAGCTCTAAGTAAACTAGAAATAAGGGGACTGTATTTTTTTTACCACCTCATTGGAAAAATGAAACATATTTGTTCTGGGTCAGACCAAAATGAGCAAAGCAATCAGTTATCCACAGAGCCATGCTGCAGGCTGGTTTCCCTTCTGCTCACTCTCCTGGGCATCCTTGAAAGAATATCCAATACCTTTTTATGATATTTGAAAGAAAATATCTCCGAGGAAAGAAAAAAAAGCAAGGTGTGATCCCAAAAAGTCCGCTTTTGCAGCTTGGACAGACCCGTCTTTCCCTCCCGCGGCCGCCGCTCCTTCCTCCTGCCCATCACGTTGTGTGGTTAGAGCACACATACTCACGGCCCCAGCACCATGATGGGTTTTGAAAGCCTGAGAAATCCTCCCAAAAGCCTGGTTTCCGGCCAAAAAAACCCGAGGTTATGCAAACATACGCGTAGCTTGCAAACAGGCTGTGTGTGTTGGATGGAGAGCAGCTTTACGAAGCAGGTGTGAGCTGATGCAGGAAGAGCTGCGCTGCCTGATGTCTGCGCTGAAAGCCGGTGTCAGCCCACAGACTGAAACCAGGGCTATGGAATTAAAGAAAAAACAACCAAGGAATAAAAATCCACCTCTGCAACAGCATCCCAAGCAAAATTCCACCCGATCCCAGGCCAGAGGGCAGTGCCACCCATTTGGGTTAGGGCTGCAGGACCCCTTTTTGCTAGGCTACCAGCCCACATGACGGGCTGTGGGGTGAACTTCCCCAACCAAGCTCACCCACCTACGTCCCCCATCATGCTGCTGCCATCCTGGTTATGCCCCCACAGCCCTGTGGGACTTGCTTATACCTTTGTAGAGGTTTAAAGGTAGATGGCTTCCTGGCAAAGGCATCCCTAGAATCTTCTGAGCCAGTGAAACCTCCTAAAAACCAAGTTCCTAGCAGCTGCCAAGAAAAAGCTTGTTTGGGTTTAAAATGTGTTCAGAAGAGTCATTCTCTTATGAAAAACTGCGGCTGTCAAAGCACCACAGTGGAGTTGCACTTATTACATATTAATGACTCCACATCAGTTGCGTTTGCTTTACAGTACCCAAATATTGGAAATATCAATATATGAGCATTCCTGAATGTGAATTGTCAGACATGCAGATCTTGGTGTCTGGAAGCCCAGCAGAGCCCCAGCATTACCCTCAGTAAATGCTCCCTGTGCCAGTGAATGCCATTGTGGAGCTGCACGGTCACAACCCTGTGAAAGCTGGGAAACCAGTGGTGTGGAAGATGTGAGTCTATCTTGCTCCATCCTGGAGCTGTTGGCTGCACCGACCTCCCATTTGGATGCTTTTAGCAAACAGGGTGAAGTGGCTCGTGCCAGTGTGATAATGTGGAGGGAGGCACGTGGTGTGAAAAGCCTCAAGGGGGAAAAGGGACGGTGATGTTTGCAGTGTGGGATTTTTGACACCTGGTGTGGGAGACTGAGCAGAGCAGGAGGTGCTCTCTGGCACGGAGAGGGTCTTTCAGAGTATTTAAGCCTTTTTCTGATTGCTCCCTGAAGGGGATTTTTTGGGGACTGAATCTTATCCCCTGCGTTACTCAGTGGAGAGGGTTTGGGGTTGTCCTGTATAGGGCCAGGGGCTGGACTTGATGATACTTGTGGGTCCCTTCCAACTCAAGATACTTCTATTCTATTCTATTCTATTCTATTCTATTCTATTCTAGGGTCTAAGCCTCTCGGGATGACAGGGCAGAGTGTCATCCTCCCCCTTCACCTCTCTCCTCCAGGGCAGGGAGGGATGCTGCATGGGTTGGGTGAGTGCCAGGCAGAGCTGATCCTCCTGGGGCTGCTGCAGGAGAATTGGCAGAAATGGGACTGGGGAAGCCGTGACTGGGACCCTACTGCTCATGCCATTCTCTAGGCTGATAAAGGAGACTGAAGCATCTCCTCTTGCTCATTCCCTGGCTAGGTGCAGGCACTAGGAATTATCCCTTGAGATGCTTTCTGCAGCCTCTACCATCCCCACTGCCAGGCATCCGATCCTGATGGAGCACAGTCCCTGTGCATGGCAGGGCTGTTCTCTCCCAGTCACCTTGCTGCCAGCAGAGCAGCAGCTTGGGCTTGCCTGGGTAGTTCATCAATGATGTGCTCTTTTCTCACTCATATCTCCAGAATATCTTGGTGGGTAGGAATACACTTCCTGGCCTCCCTTCTCCTGTGTTCATTGGGGAAACTGAGGCATGAGATGGTGGGAATACAAGCACAGATGTCTCCTCCAGCACAGGTGGGTCTGCAGCAGAGCTGGAACAAAACCCCAGGGGGTTCAGCACTTCACCTTCTGCATCTGCTGTAAATCCACCTTCTTCCACCACTCACTGTGCTTGGCATTAGCATGATATTAGTTTGAAGGAAACATTGACACTCCGTTGCCTTTTTTGGTTTTTGGTTTTTTCAAAAGCATGTCATGTGGGAGTTATTAAAAGAGTTGCCTACATTTTACAAATATTTCCAGGAAGAAATTTGCCAGTGGGCTGTGGAAGAGGAAGTGTGATGCTGACCAGCACAAGGCTGGCTGCCAGACCATGCTCTCTACTCATCCATCAGACTGTCCCCAAAACCTCCCTTCCCCCAGTGAACTGGTAACAGCAATGAGCCGGGGTGCCAAAGTGTACCTTGCATCTGTGTACCTTGCATCACCTTAGCCAAGGTGATCAAAGGCTGCTTTTCTCCTCAGCCTGGCATGGGGGGACAGTGGCCACCTGCTGAGGCGGCATTCAGTTTGGGGCATTTGCAGCATCCCCCACCCCCAGGGATAGTGGTGCCTAAATGAGGACTGCGAATCTGTCAGGCTTCTGCCTGTCAGCTGCCTGTTCCTTGGAGACAGAGGGAGCTGAGCCCTCCTGGGGGACACCTGTGATCAGCATCGCTGAATCTGGGGAAAGGCTGGGGCTGAAGGGCTCCTTTCTGGGAGCTGCCAGGGAGAAGCAGGAGGAGCAGCTGTGCTTAGGGAAAGGGCTTGTTAAAAAGCTGTGGAGAGTCACGGACAAACTGAGGGGGTTCTCCTCAGGACGTCTCCAGGTAACACCGAAGGGAAGAGTAATGGCAGCTCTCAGTGCCACTGAGTGCCTTGATCCCCTCGGCCATAACTCACACGGCCATGACTCAGTGTAAAGTGCCTCCTGCACCTGCCTGCCTCTGTAACGGGTAAACAGTAATAGTTTGTGGTTAAAATATTGCCCTCAGATGGTAATCTGTGGGACATGGTTTATACAGAACAGGTGCCCTGGGAGGGGGGTAACCTCTCCATCCTTGGTAAGAGGTTCCGTACTTGTGCTGGATCCCAGGTGTATGGAGAGGGATGCTGTTGGATGGAGGGTTTTGCAGGCACTGTGCATAGCTCTGCACTCCACGAAGCAGGTAAGGTGCAGGGAAGGGTCTTTTACCACTCACAATAAGAGCAGTTACTGTGCTTACAGATAGAAATGGTATCAGTGAAACCTCAGAAGACGTCTCACCTGGAAGAACAGCAACACCAAATCCATGCAACACCATTTTCCCAGGGATGTTACCTCCCTCCAGGATGGTGGTTCCTTGGGGCTGGGTGACCAGGATAATACTGGGTAGGATTTCAATCTGGCCCTTGAGGCTCAAAAGAGGTTTGGGGACAGACAAAAGTCTCCTGCAAGTGGGTGGCAGTGACGCAGGGCAGAGCGATGGTATTGCTGGTATGTCGAGCACCTTGTTTATTACACCTCAGACATGTCGCAACAGTGCTGGGTTGTGTAATGGTTTCCAGGAGATTTTCCTGCTTTCAGCTTTTGGGGCTCTCATTCCCAGGGCTTGGTTTCTGCCAGAGGTGGTATCTGGTAGAGAGAATGAGTTAAAATCAAACTTCTTAGGTGGGGTTTTGTGTTGAGATACCAAGTGTGTGATGGAGAGAGGGAGGAGGAGACTCTCACCTTTCTGATTTTATTTTTTTTTTTTGCGAGCACCTTCCTTCCTGGGAGCTTACAGACAAGGGGTGAAAGCTGGGTGCAGCTTCCAGTCTAGGTAGTCTGATGCTATTCCATTTCAAGAAAATTGTAGGCATTGACATCAGGAATTTCACCCACAGGGATTTAAGTGTTTCTGCCTAGCACCAATAAGAGGTGGTACTTGACAAATGGCCTTGCCTTCTCATTGCAGGAGACTGAGGATCCCATGATCCAGCCCAAGAACTTCTATGGAACTTCTGTGGCACTATTCCTGCCCCTGCCAAGTCCCAGCCCTCCTCAGGCTGAATTTTGGCACGTTCCTCCCTTTCCCTTTCCTTTGTGCAATTTTCTTCTCTCTTCTCTCCTTTCCCGGAATTGAAAGAGTTTGCACATGCAATGTGAGTCACCTCGTCTGCTGCAAGGTGCAAAGGACAGAGAGAGCTCTGTTCTCCTGGCAGTTGCAGTTGGGGCTTGGATAAATCCTCTGAGTTGTCAGTCAGCAAAGGCAAGCTCCTCATTCAGCATGGGTGACCCAGGAGTTTCAGAAGCTCAAAATATTGCACAACTTGGAAGAATTATCGCTGGGAAAATTACTGTAGCACCCAAGGGGAATTCAGCTCTCCACCACAAATGCAGAGGCATTCAAACTTCTCCTTGAAGTGGCTGCAAAAATTTCTTGATTTGGCCATTTTTGTTTACCAGAACCTCATTCGGCACATTGGCTGAAATCTTCCTGGCCCAGGTTGTGCCCCCAGCTCCGGGGGATTTTCTTATTTTTGAAAACTCCAGCTAAATGCTGGCACAGTTATAAGGAATTGAGGGAAGCTCTTAAAATGGAAAATGTTGGGCAAGCCCAAATAGCTTTGGAGGATGTGGCATGGTGAGGACAACCTCCTTGATGGAGACTGGGCTCCCTCGTGCTGCTGTCTGCTGTGCTCAGCTGGGCACAGCACAGATGGGCACTGAGCATGGAAGGATGCTCCTGCCCCCACTCCAAATGAGAGCATCAAATAGTAGGGTACAGCAACACCAAACCTGCTTCCCAGTGCACTTCTCTGCAGGGAGGTGCTGGGCAGCAGTTAAGGGGGACCTATCCAGCTCACTGCCATGTCCAGGTTCCTTCCACATCTGGACTTCACCCCTCAAAGGATGAGTTGCACCACGTATTTAAGCCCACGGCAAGGTCCCCCTCTGTGCTTCCCTTGCAAAGAATGAAATAACCTGGAAGCTGTTGGTCTCTGGAAGCAATTTAGCATGGGACGTGGCTATTAATTTAAATAGATTACAGAAATTTGAACTAAGCTGCATATAAATCTTCTGACCAGTTCTTTGGGCTTTGGTCTCTGTTGTTTACACTTTTTTTTTCTATTTTTTTTCGATTGTGTTTTATTGATTCCTGAAGCTGTGATGTTTCGGTTGGAGCTCACTGCTTGGATGGCAGGCAGCTTCACTTTTCCACACATATTACCTTTCAGAGCTACTGTGAGTAGGACACAGATGTTGCTAGGTCTCAGGTAAAGCCATCAAAGGTGGACGTTCAATCAAGTTTGACATCATCTTCAACCTGAAGGCAAAGGGGTTGGTTTTGATTAGCAGCTCGCAGGGCTGAGCCTAACCCATATCAGAGCTGCTGCTGCTACTTTACCTGAATGGCAAAACCACAGATGGTAATTATAACCATAAGTGCTTACAGATTTCCTAACAACAAAGATAATTTGTTTGCTCCATGCCTTGTTAGAAGGAGAATTTTGTTCTGGTGACTGGGTGGTTTGTGAATCAGTCGTTGCCCTTTCACCCCTTCATCCCCGGCTCGGCTGTTCCCCCCAGCTGTGGCCATTAGATGTTGATCCAACCAGAAGGGTCCTGCCGAGTCTGGTCTCTGCAGCGGCCACGGAGACGCCAGCCCAGTGCAAGGAGCCATCCTGGCCTGGCAGGGAGTGTGATGCTGTGCTGACACCCATGGGATGCCCTGGGATGCTGGGCAGGGGAGGTCCTCCTTGCTAAAACCACCCTTTCCTCATCCTATGCTTGTGCATATAAATTCTGGGGCAATTGGGGTTAAAACTTGTTGCCAGGCTGCTCCTGAATCATTGGACAACTGCTGCTGGTCCAAAGCAGGGTAAAGCTCAGTTGCATCCCCCATGCTCACCCTATCGCCCTTGCTGTGGGGGGTGACAGCCAGGCTTGCACTTTAATTCTGGGAACCACTGCCAAAAACCATGGCTTTCCTCCCATCTGAAGGTGACCCAGCATCTGAAGTCTTGGGAGGAAAACAGGGGGAGCTTGTCACTATTGATCCCTGACAGCCAGAGGTCTCTCTGCACCCTGCAGCCGCTCTCCGGTGCTGGAGACGGGTTACCTGTAAATTAAACCAGCTGGTGACAGTGGCTCGCTGGCAGCCCTGGCCCGTGTCCACAGCCATTCCTTGGGGCAGAAAGCCTATGGGTCGGCTTGGACCCCGGCTTGGCAGCGACTGAGGGCAATGTCTCGCCTGTCGCGGGCAGGCAGATAACAGCTTTGATTTCTGGGTCTCACTTTAATTATAATGGAAGGACGCGGTTCGTTAAGTGCCCGCTTTGCTTTCCAGAGATCCCTCCCGGCTGCCAAGCGCGCTGGGCTAACAAAAGCATTCCTCTCCCTGCCGGGGCCGGCCGCAGCAGCCCGTATGGCGAGCAGACGGAGGGGATTAATGCACACAAGAACAGTCTGCCCGACTCCCGGTCCCTGAACACAACCTGAGACCTCTGATCGGCCTCTCCGGGAGGAGAAACTACCCTTGAAATGGAGATCTCCTCCAAAGAACACTCTTATGCCTTTACACCATCTCATCTCCACCTCTCTGCCCAGCACGGGCAGAATACCTGCAGGGTCTTGCCCCAGAGTGTGTTTCTCCTCTCCCACAGCTGAATCAGATGATTTTTTCCATGCCAATCGTACCTGGAGTTGTTCAAGATGGTGATATTGATCTTGTTCATATTTGTTGCCTTAATGAGTCACAAATTCTGTCTGCAAGCAGAGGTGCCGGCTGGCTGCTGCTAACCTGCCTTTCTGGAAGGGTAGGAATTTCAGCAGATTTGGAGAACTGGTGTTTTCTTAGATTCCTAAAGGAAATTACACTAATTGCAACAACCCCCATGTCCCTGCAGCAAGCAGAAGTGATAGGATCTCCCCCAAATGTCTGCTCCTGGTCACTGTAACCTTCCTACAGCCCATCTCCCATCCTGCAGTGCTGAAGGACCTGCAGCAGATGATCTGCCAGACCCCAACACTCATGGCTGCTTTGAGGCCAAATTGTTTCTGTGCTGGTTCATCTTTTGGCTGTGGATGGTTACCTGGGCTGAGCAGAAGTGTCAGCTTACCACATGGGCAGGGGACTCAGGCCGTTCACTGCCGCTGCTCTGATCTTGGGTGTGGCCAACATTTCCTTATTTTGAAATTATTTTAATATTCAGGCGACATGAATATCCACACACACGGGCACAGTACACGGGGTCACAGCACAGTGCTAGTGCGGAATTAATATAAATGCTCTGTGGGATATGTCTAAACAACGGTCCCATATTAATCAGCTTAATATTAATCAGCTTTCTCCTCCACTCAAATCTAGCAAAGCCCCCCCTCCAGAGCAGGACGTGGTGCTGGTTTGGGGATGCAGCCTGTTTCTGAGGCAGGACAGTGTGCTTCTCGCATGTCTCAGATGCTCTTCAATAGGCTTAATTTAAACTTTAACTCCCAATTTGCCTCTGGGCTCAGGGCATGGAAAAAATTAGAGCAAAAGGAGAATTTTTCAAGAAGTTCTGAGTGAGTAAAGCAGGGTTATAATAGAAATAGTTTTTGACCTTAATTATGGCTTCTAATGGAAATAGTTGTGCAACCTCAGCAGTGGGGTTTGGTATATGCAGCAGATCTGAGCCAAGGATGGTGACGGGATGACAATGAGGGCTCGGTGGCCTTGGCTGCTCACTCATAGGAGGCTCTCAGGCTGAGGCTGGCAAGGGAAATGTTCCTCATTTCCACCATCCACAGCTCTGGCTCACTCCATTCGGACCTAAGGCTTTGCCCCATCTCTGCTTCACACAAGAATGTAAGCGGCCTCAAATCCCTCATCACTGCCGGCAGATTGTGCAGCCGGCACCCAGCACCTCTGGACAGAGGAGCGGTGAGAGTCTGTAATTCCCTGCTGAGATCAATACAGCGAGTCCCAGCCCAAAGGCAGCATGGCTCCCTCTGTTCTACTCCCACCCAGGCAGGCACAGGAGGGACAGCCTGACTCTCTCTCCACTCCCCTGGGGAAGCAATTCTCGGCTGTGAATTCCGATACAATAAACTCCAGTGCTGTCCTCCAGGGATAAATGATGCCAATGGGAGCTGCCGACCTGCAGAGATACTTGTTTGAAGGATCCAGATTGCAAAATAATGACATAGCATTTGCTAGGGATGGGAGCAGTATGGGTTAATTACTGAAGAGGAAGCACATCACCTTTGGTGTTGGGTCAAACCTCCTCGCTCTGGAATTGTACTGTTATTACCCCTGCTATAACGGGTCACTTGGCACAGCCTGGGAGCAATGACGTGTGCGGCTAAAGTGATTTAGAAACCTCTGTTTTGGGTGACAAATGGATCCTGGCCCTTCGACGGGCCAGGGATTGCCTGGGGCACCTCTTCTACCATAAAGGTAACCAAGATCTCAGGGCATGGGGTTGGCAGAAGGCTCACTTTTGTCTAGGGAACTGCAGGTGGGATGAGTGGTTGATTAACACAGTTGCAGGGCTGGAGGACACCAGCCAAAACCATTGCTGTCAGCAGGGCAGGCTGGGATGATGTGAGGTCCAGAGGGACTTGAAGGAGGTGTGACCTCCTCCTGTGCCTGCATACTGCCAGCAACAGTCATGGAAAACAGTGGTGACATCTTGCAAGGGACCAGTGTCCTTCGCATCTGCAGTGGCGTCGGGGTGGGTGGGGAATGGCAACTCTTCTTCCCTAGAGTGCTGTGCAGAACTGTTCTCTTGCCAGATTTCAGCCAGCTTTAGGCTGTCCCAGGGGGAGCAAAGTCACCTCCCAGAGATATCCATATGTCTCTTCTGGATATAAATGCAAGAAATGTGGATTGGTTCCCAGTCCAAAAAGGATGTGGGGTGCAGCCAGCCCCATCCAGGCCTCTGTGGTGTTTTTGGAAACATGCTTATGGTGTGCATCCTAATTTCTCGCTGCCAGAAGTGATCTCACAAGTGTGACCATGAGGAGGCACTGGGGCTGCAGCAGCTCTGTTTCACCCCCCAGTCTGGGAGTCAGAGATCTGCAGTATCCCAAAGGCAGCTCCTGCCTTAACAAGAGCAGAGGGAGGATGCTTCCCTTCCAGGCAGGGACCCACAACAAGATCTCTCCAAATGCTCAGGGCCCAGCAGCCACTGCCAAGGCACACGTCCTTGTGTTTTCAGCTCTCAGTTCCTGAAAACTTTGGGAAACCTGACCATTTTGGTCCTCCAAAGGGTGCTGGAAAACCCCGACCTCAGTGTGGGGGTTGAGTTGTTTGGCAAATTCAGGCTTTGTGCTGAAGATGCAAACATGTTAGTTCCCCTCCATTGCCTATGTCTCTGTGTAGGTTGCAGAAATAAAGCAAGTGTTTAACATGCAGGAATTTAACCCTTTCAGGATTCCAGTTTATTCATAGCATTACCTAACATAAAGAATCGTTGGCTCGGTGCGTTTTGACAGCTACTGTTTTAAAGTTCTTATCACTGTTATTTCTTCTTTTATCACGGTTTTTGTATTGTGTGGTGAAGATTCGTCTCTTTCCTTGCCTAGTTTATCTATAATTCAGGACGTTTTTACACTTAGGTTATAATTGACTTTTCCATGCTGCAGCAACTCAAACAATAACTATTAATATTCAGCAGTCTATAGTGATAAAGATTTCCATTTACTTTCTTTTACTTAGCCATGTGAATATACGACATCCTATCTCACACGGTTAATATTGAATTCATTCATATTTACTCTCCATTTTCCTGTATAACAATATTGAAAGAGTGAACACTGTGGTTTTGGGGACATCTGACTCCCACCCTCAGCTAGCCAGCCCTGCTCCCACAGAGGGGAACTGATACCTGCAGATCCTGGTGATGCTGTGATGCTGGCTGGCCATCACCCCTCAGGTCTTTCCAAGGCTGGGGAAGAAGGTGGAGCAGAGTACAAAGCACAGTACCTCAGCCTTCCTTGCCGCAGGGACAGGACCCCGGTCCTGCCACTGATGAGGATGCTGCATTTGCAGCCAAGAAGCGGTTGTCTCAAAAACCCAAAAGGGTTTCAGATGGTGCTAGAGGGCTGTGAGCTG